GATGGTCTCTCGACACCCTGACCTCGTGATCTGCCTGCCTTGGATGCCCAAAGTGCTGGGATTACAGTCGTGAGCCACCACACCCAGCCTTAGAATCTTAAGTACATAAAATATTCAGATTTTATTTTATTCAGAAGTAGAGATTTTGCAGTATGGTGACAACAGATAACTATAAAAACTTCTTTTCCTCAGTCATAACTTTGCAAAGATTAAAAAAACCAAAAAAAAACCTTCTTTTTCAAATGGAGCCAGCAGGGGCATGCATGGAACACATATACCAAACATCTGTTTGATAGCAGTAAACATTTTTTAAAAGATGTTAAATGTTCTTTTTATTGTGGTGCTTCAGATGCCTGAGTCTAGAACTTGTGTGCATGGAACCTGTATTCTGCTCTTCTGTTGGAGTTTACAAGCAAAGATAATGATGGGGGAAGGAATTAACATTTTTGCAGGCCCTGGAAATGTAAAATGTACTCACATGACCTCACATTAAATTCCCATGAAATCGACTTTTTAAAATAAATTTAATTTTAAAGGAAATGGAAGGACAATGAGATTAAATAACTTGCCCAAGGATTCTGGGTGGGTGTGCTGTGGAGGTGGGACTTACATCAAAGTCTCCTTGAAATAATTCTTGCCCGATATTTAATTAAACTCAGTGAAATTCCTCTCTTTGCTGCTTTTTAGGGTTAATTATATTCTATGCCAATATTAAGCCATAAGCCTTTCATTTTGGCCTTTGTGGCACAGAATTTTCTTTAAAGGACAGCTTTTTTGTTTGGTTGCTTTTGTTTTTTTCGAGACAGAATTTCACTCTGCTCCCCAGGCCAGAGTGCAATGGCACAATCTCAGCTCACTGCAAACTCTGCCTCCCAGGCTCAAGCCTCCCAAATAGCTGGGATTATAGAGTGCGTGCCACCACGCCTGGCTAATTTTTATTTTTTGTAGAGGTAGGGTTTTGCCAGGTTGGCCAGGTTGGTCTTGAACCCCTGACCTCAAGTGATCCACCCACCTCGGCCTCCCAAAGTGCTGGGATTACAGGCGTGAGCCACCATACCCAGCTTTTAAAGAGCTGTCCTTTGACAGCTCCAGAATTTGCTTTTTTCTGAGATATCATAGGAGAGGTCAGTTTTCATGTTTGGTTAACACATAAACACATAGAACCGAGGTCAGTGTGTTCAGTAATGGTCTGCATTTTCTTGCTGTGCCACTCAGTTTCTAGCGAATGTTCTAATTGTGGAGAAATGCCAAGTCAGTCTCAGCCCTTTCAGTAGGCTTTGGTTTAGGTTTAAGTGACTTTCAGAGTGGATTACCTGTTGCTGTATTGTTTTAAAACTGCTGTATTTTCATCTTAGAAGTTCCAACTTCTAACTTTCTACACCAAATGATTTCTTTCAAAATTAGAAGCAACATAAATGAATGAAATCGGCTGGGCATGGTGGCTCACGTCTGTAGTCCCAGCACTTTGGGAGGCCGAGGTGGGCTGATCATCTGAGGTCAGGAGTTCAACACCAGCCTGGCCAATATGGTGAAACCTCGTCTGTACAAAAAATACAAAAATAAGCCAGGCATGGTGGCAGGCACCTGTAATCCCAGCTACTCGGGAGGCTGAGACAGGAGAATTGCTTGAACCCGGGAGACAGAGGTTGCAGTGACCCAGCATTGCACCACTGTACTCCAGCCTGGCTAACAGACAGACTCCGTCTCAAAAAAAAAAAGAAAGGAATGAAATCATTAAAGTGTGTTCTCATTGCTTTCTCTTGGTAAATAGCTCCTCTGGCAAATAGGGAGATGAAATGTTGAGAGTTGCGAGGCAGAGGATACTCAAAAAACTGAATTTCTTCCTTATTCCCTCAACACCTGAGTTCTAAGCTACCTACCCCAGGTATCTTATCATCCTTGTAACTCAGGTGTTGTACCATCCCTGGGCTGAGAGCTTTGCCCAGTTGCTGGCTTCTTAGTGGAGTTCCTTCTGCTCACTCCGTGGTGCCTTCCTGCCTTGCGGAATTTTGCTGGCCTTTGCTTGTAGCACAGCTCAATGAACTCAGCTAGTAGGAGTTCCTTATGGGTAAAAGGAGAATGTGAGTGGCATAGTGCTCCATGGTGCTGTTGAGATACATATTTTATGTAGTATAATTAGGAGCAGGATTGTGTAGATACCTAGGAAACAGTTCATAGATGTTGTGGGCAAGGTCTTCACCCATATGGTCTTGGGAAATAATGAGACAATCCTGCTTTTCCAGGGTTCTGGTGAGTTCTGAACCTCCCTCTGATACCTCAGTATAACCAGCAGAGGTAAATTAGCAAAAAAGCCAGGGGCGTTTGTTAACTTCGTTTGAAAAACAAACAGGATTGAGACAGATATACTTACTTATAACTTGATTATGTGTGTTCATTTTTGACCCAGAAACCAATCGCAGCTGGGCTTAGGACGAAGAGTAGAATGTGGCCTTAACTGTGTGTCATAAAGTCAGTTTTAGTAACTCAGATTTTAGGTTTGTAACCCAGCATGACTTTAAAGCTCTGGGATTGCTGTATAGCATTTCATTCTGTGGGTGCCAGAAAGCAGCGCCCCGTGTTAGACTTACAGTACCCGCGACGTTTGCAGTTTATCTTAGCGTCTGTAATTTCTAAGTTGGCGTATGTGTTTCTATTACTGGATTGAAAGAAGACCCTAAAGGCAGACCTGTCAGGTTTCCTGTTTCTTATTTAGTTCAACCTAAGGGACCCAAATATATCTTGAAAAACCAGAGCTGAGATTATATTTGGTATAGGCCATTTGTGCATACTGACTGGTTAAGAATTCAATGGAAGACTTATAAACTACAATTTAAAATATTGATCCAGTTTATTTCTTTATATTTTAATTTACTGCTATGTGATTGCATATAGGATGAAAGCATATTTAATTGTATTTTTTGCTGTATATATTTGTTTCTACTTTTGAGGGAGAAATAATCAAAAGTTAAAACCAATAAAGACTATCTGAAGCAGGTTATGACCAAATGCCACTCCCTTTAATTTTTTTTTTTTTTTTGAGACGGAGTTTCGCTCTTGTTACCCAGGCTGGAGTGCAATGGCGCGATCTCAGCTCACTGCAACCTCCGCCTCCTGGGTTTAAGCAATTCTCCTGCCTCAGCATCCTGAGTAGCTGGGACTACAGGCGGTGCCACCATGCCCAGCTAATTTTTGTATTTTTAGTAGAGACAGGGTTTCACAATGTTGACAAGGATGGTCTTGATCTCTTGACCTAGTGATCCACCTGCCTTGACCTCCCAAAGTGCTGGGATTATAGGCGTGAGCCACCACCCCTTTTCTTAAAAAAACGACATGTAAGAGAATCTTAGGTAACATCATAAAGACCTTCCTTGAGAATATGAATAATATTTTAGTCAAATTTCAGTTTATTGCTTTTCTTTCTCCCAACTACTGAAGTCATTCCAGATAGGAAATTAGCATATAGAGTGGTGAGACAAATTTGAAGAATCATTTTCTTCCACCCCAAACCCGACTTTTAATAAGATAAATGTAGGTTATTTCATTGTCATGAATTCTTCATTCCAAGGAGGTAATAAACAGCAAATTTTTCTCTTCTAAATGAAGGATGTATGTATTTGCAGAGCTGGCGAAGGAGTGCTTACAGTTCTGCCAGTGGGCCTGACCAGAGCAAAACCAGGTGGTCCCCCTGCTCTTTTAACCTCCCTTGGGGTCCAGGGCGAGGCTGACGCCCTCTCCTGGGCTTTTCTCCTTTGTTTGACTGGTGAGTCCAGTATAATGTGATTTGTGCCATGCTTCATCCAGGAAAAGCATCTGATTGTCTTTACCAAAGCAACACTTCAGTGGGTTCCTACTGACGTATGGTGACAGAAAAATGGACTTAAAGGAAAAAAAAAAAACAAACAAAACCAAAACCAAGAGCTTTTTTAGCTGTGGCCATGTTTCTGGGTGAAATTTATTATTTATAAGTTCATAATTTATTATTTATCTGGTTTAATGCTTGAATCCCAGAGGAGAGAAATTCAAGATTCAAATCCAATCAGAGTTTCCTGTGCCAGAATGAAAGCAGCAGCCTCAAGACAGTTGTTAATAACTATTGAATGTGCATGTGTAGTTTGAATTCTAATCAGGAAATGGATCATGAAGAACAATTTCATATTACTATGGAACTATTTTTTTTTAACCTGAAAATACCTTGAAGAGCAATGAATTTATGTGAGACACAACCAGCAGGAGACACTGACTTTTTCATAACTGCCCCTGCTTGGTAAGAAGATAGACTGAATCCTGCTTGCCTTACATGTTTGAAGATGTGTTTGCTGATATAAAACACACACATATGTAGCAGAGTGACTTTGCAGTTTCAGATCATTTTCTTGAATTCTGTGATTTGTGCTTTATTTATTACAGCTGTGCAGTTTCTCCAGAAAGCGTTTTAAAATGGCAATGCCTTTCTCTAGCTCTAGGCTGGGTCTAAGATGGCTGCCCCTGCCATGTTGCACACGCCTGTTCACTCGTGGTGTTTGCTTCAGATATGGGACAGCAGATAAGAAACAGCTAGTGCTCCTCCTGTCCAGGGTTGACAAGCTTCACCTCTAATCACTGATTCTTTGATCTCAGCTTATTATTCCCTCAGCTGGCTATGATTAGAAGTTCTACAACTGAGCTCCTTCATTTCTTTTGACTCACTGTTTTAAAACTCATTTAGAATTATGGTAAAACCCACTTCACTGAGCTCCTTAATGTGTTTGATTTATTGATTTAATTTTTTTTTTACTTTTAATTGTGTAATTGTGTGGGTGCTCGGGAGGCTGAGCAGGGAGGATCCCCTGAGCCCAGGAGGTGGAGGCTGCAGTGAACCGAGATCTCGCCACTGCACTCCAGCCTGGGCAACACAGCAAGACCCTGTCTCAAAAATAAACATGAATAAAAAATGCAGCTTTGCATGGTCCCCACACTTGCCGGATAACCCCCGTTTTGTTCTGTTTTGTGTTTGCTTCCAGAACTCCAAGATGGGCGGCAAGCTCAGCAAGAAGAAGAAGGGCTACAATGTGAACGACGAGAAGGCCAAGGACAAAGACAAGAAGGCTGAGGGCGCGGCGGCGGAGGAGGAGGGGACCCCGAAGGAGAGTGAGCCCCAGGCGGAGCCCGCCGAGGCCAAGGAGGGCAAGGAGAAGCCCGACAAGGACGCCCAGGACGCCGAGGGCAAGGCCGAGGAGAAGGAGGGCGAGAAGGACGCGGCCGCCAAGGAGGAGGCCCCGAAGGCGGAGCCGGAGAAGACGGAGGGCGTGGCCGAGGCCAAGGCCGAGCCCCCGAAGGCGCCCGAGCAGGAGCAGGCGGCCCCCGGCCCCGCTGCGGGCGGCGAGGCCCCCAAAGCTGCCGAGGCCCCCGCGGCCCCGGCCGAGAGCGCGGCCCCTGCCGCCGGGGAGGAGCCCAGCAAGGAGGAAGGGGAACCCAAAAAGACTGAGGCGCCCGCAGCTCCTGCCGCCCAGGAGACCAAAAGTGACGGGGCCCCAGCTTCAGACTCAAAACCCGGCAGCTCGGAGGCTGCCCCCTCTTCCAAGGAGACCCCCGCAGCCACGGAAGCGCCTAGTTCCACACCCAAGGCCCAGGCCCCCGCACCCCCCGCGGAAGAGCCCAAGCCCGTGGAGGCCCCTGCAGCTAATTCCGATCAAACCGTAGCGGTGAAAGAGTGACAAGGACAGCCTATAGGAAAAATAATACCACTTAAAACAATCTCCCCCCACCGCCCCCCCTTTCTTTCTTTCTCTCTCTCCCTCCCTCTCTCCCTCCCTCCTCTCTCTCTTTCTCTCCCCCCCCTTTTCTCTCTCCTCTCTCCTATACTAACTTGTTTCAAATTGGAAGTAATGATATGTATTGCCCAAGGAAAAATAAAGGATGTCCCATCAAGGGAGGGAGGGGGTGGGAGAATCCAAATAGTATTTTTGTGGGGAAATATCTAATATACCTTCAGTCAACTTTACCGAGAAGTCCTGGATTTCCAAGATCCGCGTCTGAAAGTGCAGCACATCGTTTCTGCCTGAAACTGCCGCCACAATGCACTCCTCCACCGCGAGAGTTGAATGAAAAGCTTTCCTTCTGCAATGGGAGTTGGGAGTGATGCGTTTGATTCTGCCCATGTGGCCTGTGCCAAGGCAATCAGATCTTTATGAGAGCAGTATTTTCTGTGTTTTCTTTTTAATTTACAGCCTTTCTTATTTTGATATTTTTTTAATGTTGTGGATGAATGCCAGCTTTCAGACAGAGCCCACTTAGCTTGTCCACATGGATCTCAATGCCAATCCTCCATTCTTCCTCTCCAGATATTTTTGGGAGTGACAAACATTCTCTCATCCTACTTAGCCTACCTAGATTTCTCATGACGAGTTAATGCATGTCCGTGGTTGGGTGCACCTGTAGTTCTGTTTATTGGTCAGTGGAAATGAAAAAAAAAAAAAAAAAAAGAAGTCTGCGTTCATTGCAGCTCCAGTTTCTCTTCCATTCTGTGTCACAGACACCAACACACCACTCATTGGAAAATGGAAAAAAAAATAAAAAAACAAAAAAATGTACAATGGATGCATTGAAATTATATGTAATTGTATAAATGGTGCAACAGTAATAAAGTTAAACAATTAAAAAGAAGTGCTAAAGACTTGGGTTTTTTGTTTATTTCTTTAGTCCCCCTCAGTCACTGCTTTATTTGGGAACAGAGCCCTAGATTGGGCATTTTTCAGAATGTATCTGCATAGAAGTGAAAAACAGAGCGGGCACGGTGATTCACACCCGTCATCCCAGCACTTTTGGGAGGCCGAGGCGGGCGGATGGCTTGAGCCCAAGAGTTGAGGGCCAGCCTGAGTAACGTAATGGGACCCCACCTCTATTTTTAGAAAAAATTGTGAACATTGTTTGTTAAAAAAAAAGTAGCTAAGCCAATGTAAACTATCTCAGAAGAAGTTAAATTGAAAACATACCATGTCTTTGCATATGCACACTATAAAAATGTGGGTGTAATTAAGAAGAACAAAGATTTTGAATAAAACACATTAAAAAAAATAGATTTGATCTTGAAGGCTGGGAAAAAATGAAAGACAGGATCTTATAGAAACCTGTGTTTGTAAATCGTGGCACCACTAATGGGATGTTCCCTCCCATCCCCCACTTTTTTTATTATCATATTCACGGTAGAGCCAGCAAAGGCCACCTAAGAATTGTGCCATGAGACAGGAGTGATTTGGAAGCCAGCATGGAACTGGCCTTGATGGTGACCGGGTTTCTGTCCTGATTTTGTCACTGGTGACTTGGGTGGCTTTTAAGTCACTTCCAACCTTTCCAGACCTTCCTTGCTTTACCTACAAAAGGGTGTGGCCTTTACCTCTGAGGCAAGGTCCCTTTGACTACTGAACCATTGAATGGCTTGGGGATATACCAGGTGACAATTTAATATCAGTCATGATTCATAGGTATGCACCAACTGATGTGATGTCTCTCCCATCTCTTGATTTTCCAAAGCTCACAGAGTAATGAATCATACTTTAGAAGATTCCAACATAGGAAATACCCTGTGGAATTTGTGAAGGCCAGTGTAATGGCACTGATTCGCAAACGGACATTAATGATACAATGGATTCAGATAAACCTGGTTCCATTCTTATGGGTTACATTACACATGGTTAAATAAAAAAGGAAAAAAATTTTTGAGTATTTTGGGAGTAGCCTGTAGTCAGTCTGTCACCTCCCGGGGAAAGAAAAAGTGATGAAACAGGATTATGTAAATGTCCCCATTGGGTTCAATTGGTATTTATGATCACTTTTTGGGTTCTTGTTTCTGTAGTGCTATAAATTTGAATTCTTAATGCTTGAAAGCACAGCATACAAGAATCTGTAAACACAGTAACCACCAGGCAACTTTTACATAAGAAAAAAAAGAAGGGGAATGTCCAGGTTATTACCCACGTGTCCTCAAATACATAGCAGAGCTTGGGGACCAAGCGATGGTGGTGGAGTGGTTACAGATTCAATGAACCATGGAGGACATTTATAAAGCTGCTGATTAAATGCCATGCATTTTTTGCAGGAAAATGTGCTTGGTGGAAGTAATATTTTATATATTCTGTCCCCACTTCCCCTTCTAATTAAAAAAAAATGCTAAGCTTTTTGGTGATTAGAACAATCAAATCAGCCTCCCAGATTAGCATTTATTACTATAAATTGCCATTTTTGAATAAATAAAAGACATTTTTCTGAGTTTATTTAGTTAGTTGTTGAGTAGAATGGGAGAATTAAAATCTGAGCTATATATATATATATATATTTTTTTTTTTTTATCTAACTCTATTAGGTGTTGAAGCAATTGAAAAATGTTAGAAATGTAGTCACCAAAATGTTTAAATCAGAATTTTAACCTAGCCATGGTTCATGACATTTAATTTTACCATACTGAAGAAAAAACCTTGGGATGTAGTTTGAAGTTGTATATGCAGCAGAAAACGTAGTACACGTGGGAGTAATTGGCTCAGCCAGGAAGGGAACAATGTTGGGCACCATGTTAATTTTGGATTAACCTAGATTGTTCTCTCCTCATGAATGATTTAAAATGACAAGAAGGGACTGCACAGGCTGTGCTGAACAGGCAAGTCAGAACCATCGGGAACTTACCGCCTGTTTGCTTTACTAACTCAGGGATGTCCCTCTCTACGAAGAGTGAAGGGTTCCAGGGTCTAACATTCATTCACTGGGCACCTTTGTGCAGCAAGGAGAAAACTAGGAGGAATCCAGAGGAACGTGTACAGGGATGCCAGGCTTGTCCCTCCAGTTTGAAGATCCTGTTCAGTCATTGGTGCTGCCTCTGAATGATGGGACTGGACTCCGGTCCCCAAGAGCTGTCACGTGCCGTGCATCCCAGGGTGGCCCTTCCTGGCTTCAACCCTGAAAGAAGGCCATCTTCAGCCTGTTCCCAGTCATATGGAGGCAGAGGCGACACCGGCAGTCCAGGAACGTCATTCCCCATTCTTGGAGAATCTCCTTTCTCTCTAGAATCAAAGTGTAGGTCTATTGGACAGTAAGGACTTGGTTGTCAATTACTTGTGCCGACAAGAGCTAGACGTACTTTAGCTGGGTAACTTTACCTAAGTTGGGTAAATTATTAGATACCAGCATACCCAAGGGTACTTACTGCATTGCTAACAGGAAGTCTGTTTTCATAAAGCAACCTGGGACTTTAATTTTCGTTAAATGAAACATCCTGGTATAATGAAGCACAGTATCTTCATCGAAATATGCACATATTAGTGTCCATGATCAGAGCTAGCTGTAGGACACCGATCTTAAGTGGTTCTTTCATAGATAGAAGGCACACATCAACACATTTCAGTAAAACTTCTTTGTCAAATTTCCTATTTTGATGTTTTCTACTTTCTTGTCTCAAGATTGAAGGGATTACTCTTCATCCTTTTGATTTCTATTCTGCTATTTGAGAAGGTAACTGGAGTTATTTTGAGCTTTGTTTTAGCTAATCTGCAGAATAATGAAAACTGGATGCTCCGGAGGTAATCTTAAAAATGTACCAAATGGCAGCACCACTAGTAGTGGTGAGATTAATCAGGGGAGCTTCTACACTCATCCTTATAAAAGGAGGCACAATTTGCTTGATTTGTAACTGACACTGATTGTTTTACTAAGTAGTTGATATTTTAAATATTTAGCTCTGAGAGTGCTATTTGGTCACAGTGTCACATATTTTCTCAACACTATCTCCTAAGAGAAGAATAAAAAGGCCAATGTAGGGAGTTTTTCATGAAGCTATATGTCATTGATTTTTTATAAATGCCATCTCTTACCATAATCCTATATGCTTTCCACTGCTCTTTTTTTTTTTTTTAACTGTTGTTGTTTGCTTGTTTTTAAACTTTTTTAAAGAGAGTTTCACTGTCACTCAGGCTAGAGTGAGGTGGTGCCATTAGAATTCACTGCAGCCTCCAACTCCTCAAGAGATCATTTTGCCTTAGCCTTCTAAGCAGCTAGGACTGTAAGCAAGCACTACCAAGCCCAGCTAAAATGATTTTTTGGTAGAGACTGGGGTCTCACCATGTTGTCCAGGCTGGTCTTCAACTCCTGGACTCAAGTGATCCTTCCCAAAGTGTTGTAATTACAGGCCTGAGCCACCATGCCCAGCCTCAACTTTTTAAGGACACAATTCATTAGCAGTGTATGAAATCTCAAAGTCCAGGGAATCATTGATTTGGTGGTACATTTCTCCAACTTTACCTCGGTCTTTATTTTATTAAAAGCATTATTCATTCTGAAGCTGTATGTTTCCATTCACATACATATTTAAGGGAATTCCTGAGGGAAATAACTTTGAAATAGAACCATGATCATAAAAAGAAAATAACTCTGCAACTGCACACACTGAAATAAATAAACCAACTAAAAATCTCATATCGCCTTATCTCCTATTTTAAAATTATTTATTTATTTATTTTTGAGACAGAGTTTGGCTCTTGTTGCCCAGGTTGAAATGCAATGGTACCATCCTGGCTAACTGCAATCTCTGCCTCCTGGGTTCAAGCGATTCTCCTGCCTCAGCCTCCTGAGTAGCTGGGATTTCAGGCATGTACCTCCATGCCCGGCTACTTTTGTATTTTTAATAGAGACAGGTTTTCTCCGTGTTGGTCAGGCTGGTCTCGAACTCCCAACCTCAGGTGATTCTCCTGCCTTGGCCTCCCAAAGTGCTAGGTTTATAGGCATGAGTCATTGTGCCCGGCGCCACCACACCTGACCTCTGTTTTATTTTTAATTTGTATTTATTTAAGATGGAGTCTCACACTTTCACCCAGGTTGGAGTGCAGTGGCACGATCTGGGCTCACTGCAACCTCCTCCCAGGCTCACGTGATCCTCCAACCTCAGCCTCCCAAGTAACTGGGACTACAGGTGCACACCAATACTCCCAATTAATTTTGTGTATAATATTTTTGGAGGCTGGGCATGGTGGCTCATACCTGTAATCCTAGCACTTTGGGAGGCTGAGTTGGGTGGATCACCTGAGGTCAGGAGTTCAAGAACAGCCTGGCCATCATGGTGAAACCCCATCTTAAAAAATATATATATATATATATTTGGTAGTAGAGACAGTGTTTTGCTATGTTGCTCAGGCAGGTCTCAAACTTCTAAGCTCAGGCAATCTGCCCAAGGTGGCCGCCTAAAGTGCTGGGATTATAGGTGTGAGTCACCACGCCCGTCCTTATCTCTTTATCCTACGTGCACTCGACTTCCATTTCTTCCTAAGGTCCATATGTCACATTTATTATTCATTTTGTTGTCTTTGAAGGTAGTTTTATATTTTCCCTCTGGGTCCAGGGAAATTTGGCATTAATATCATTCATTTATAATTTAATGGCTTTGCATGATGTGCCCATCCCTTCTATTGCAGCTCCTTTAGGTCGATGTGTTAAAATGTTAAATGATAAAATGAGGGGTTAATAAGCACTTATTTAGAATCACATAGAGAACACATGTCCTTGCTTTCTTTAGTTTTCATTTTTGTTACTTATACAGTCCAGGATTTAAGAGACTTAAAGGGTCTCAATAAAAACCTTGTCTTGGGGAAATCTCATCTTAAATATAATTTTTACTATGTTTCATG